GAATCTTTTCTCAGTGGATTTTTGTCTGTTCTTTTATTTTATTTTTATGCAAAGTCCTCACGTGGTCGGACTCTGCGCCGTCGACGCTCTTCAGGAGAAATAAAACCAGGAACTATCAGGTATCAAACTCTCATGTGCAAAAAGGAAGTTTGACCTTTTATCACGTAGCACGACGCTAACGGCTAACCTCAGAACTATCAAGACTGAAGTCGACACAGCGGGTAAGAAGGCGCTGGGCAACACGGGCAAAGGAACGGTCATTTTCTGGATTCTTGTGTATCTCTAAAGGCGGAAATCAAAACATTTTATTAAACCGCAAGGTACATTCTATACACCAGTCCAACTTTGTCATTAGTTGAGATCTGGAGCAATAGCGATCATTTTATATACGGTATTTACTTGAAGGACATATGTTTGGGTTTGGTGTTGGCAAAAGCAGTCTTTGTACTCGCTTGTACTTGCCCGTAGCTTCTCGTTATTCATCGACTTCCCATGTAAACAGTTGCAGACTAAGAAATATTTTTGCCTGACAAGAAAAATCTCAATGGAATCTAATGTAATTGATCTGGAAGACGTAGTAAATGTTCTTAAGTCTAAGCTTGAACATTTAAGAGTCTAAGATAGCAGAGTCGCTGTTGTATCTTCAGACAATTGTAAATCGCGATTGTTAGATATGTTCATTAACTATAGAACACGCAAGCTGGGAAGCTGGTTTGTCATCTGCAAACTCCAATCACCCGTAATGCTTTGTGCCTTGAGGGGGTATGAAGTCAAATTTTAGCTGTGGTAAAACTTTATAAAAAAATTATGAAGTTTAATTTTTGTATCGTCAGTGGTTTTATATAGAAAGTCAAACAAGGTCAGAATGATGTGAAAACATTTGAAACACTTTTTTAGTTTTTTGTGCAATAGGTGATTTTGGCTCACCCAGCGAAGCCCAGCCACTGGTTAGATTGATGGCATTAGACCTCACCAACCCACAAAGCATTATGGTATTGCACAAGTAGCTAATCACTATTACAGCAACGGTATAGAGGCTTTAGTTAAATACAGTCAAAATTCAAAATATTTTTTACGCCAGACTTGGGACACATTTTAGATTGTTACATTCTGGGACAATGCTTGGGAAGTCTTAAATATATGGATTTGTGTTCAGTTTCAGGGTCCTGTACTAATGTGGATGGTTGGACCTGGTTTAGGGCTTAGTTAGAGCAGTGTTCCCCAACCTTTTTGAGCCATGGCACTTCTCATTGATAGCGTTTTCACAGTATTTCCTTTTCACATTAATTGGATCAATTAGATGAGAATGGATCAATTCCAAAGGCGCACCAAGCAAAGTCTAAACGTACACAGACATGCCGCAGCCAACTGGTTAAAAAACACTGATCTCGACTGACGGTGTGGCACTGCTATGAGCTAGCTTAAATGATTCGACCGCAGTGAAATTGGTTAGCTTTACTTTACAGATATTTTGCCGAAGTTGTTATGATGGACCTGGCTAAACGCTTAACAAATATTTGCATCATATATGTCCTTTAAGATAAATATTTGGAGTTAAAGGTTGCATTAATCCGGTCTCTCAATTACTTCATCACAATTTCTAAGTATTTTTCTTTTCTTTGACCTTTGGCTTCTTACCCTGGCTCATCCACAGAACCTTCAATGTAGGTCACTCTCAGTTGCACGACCAGAAGTCTACTCAAAAACTTTTTAAAAGTTCAAACCTAAATATTTCCAGCAGACTGTTGTTTTGATCCACTTCGCTGCCGTGTAGTTTGTCCGTGTTGCTCGGCTCCAGCACAAAAACCTCGTTCCACAATTCAACAAAGAAATCTCCAGGAAACGAAGAAAAAAACAACCCAGGACTGAACTCAGCGATACGTCACCGCATCATTGAACCTCAAGAGTCAAACCTCAAAACCACAAACCTCTGAACCTTTATAACATTACACTTTGTATTAATATCATTATGAACAAGTTTTTTATGGAATAAGTCAATGTACGCAACAAGAGGGCGATAAGGAAGAGTAAAGGTAACCCCAGGACTTAAAACTGGATACTTTTGAACAAAATTCAAACTTTTATTAGCAGTATTTAGCTCATAGCATTTGGCTGATGACTTATAATTAGTCATTGTTCTGTTATTGGCTTGTTTCATGGAACTTGGTCAAAAAACGTCAATCATATTAAGCTAAAATTCTGTTTGCTAGTTCGTTTTTTTTTTTCCATCCGTTCTGTTGTGTCTCCACTGTTTGACAAACTGGAGCCATTTTTTATATCGGTTTGATGTGTTTTTATCATATTTTTTTCATTTTGAAAACCTTCACCTGCTGCCAGATCACTCCAGTGCATTCAAGGAACAAACAAAAGAGAGGAAAAGACAGATCTGTTCCGACGCTTGCCAAAGTCTCTGATACAAAACTCCACTTAAATCCTTCACGTTTTCATCAAAGATCTACTATGTATACTTACAATGCATAATATTTGTACAGTTAAGTAAAAAAAGATTTAAGGTAAGGTTGAGTAAAAAAGTTATAGTGGAGGATGTAGTACTATTACGTGAATAAGTGACTTGTTGTACAGTCTGACAGCAGTAGGGATGACGGCCCTGTGGTTGAGTTCTTGTACTGAGGGTGTTAAGCTGGTGTGGCTGCTGGTTTTCATTCCAACTGAAGACCAGAAGAAATGGGTTGAGTCTGCTCTGCTCCCGCTTTGTTGGTATGAGAACCTGCAGACACCGGCCCTTTGAGGACCGGTTTGACACTCCTGCAGCTGTAGCAACACACTGTTTGCTAGGAGCCATTAGCATTTGCTAGCTTCTCAACTTAGAGCTTGGTATAAAACGTGCCAACACTGCCATCTGGTGTCAGGAGAGGGATATTACATGTTACTTTGGTTTTTAGCTTAATCCAAGATGACGGGGTCTCAAAGGCACACAGTGGAAAATAATTTAACTCGGGGAATTACCAAAACCAATTAATAAGCCTGTTGTAAAGAGTATAAAACTGCTCCGTTCATGCCTTGATAATATAAGATTCTTCACAGATTTAGAGTTTAAGATGGCGGCTGAACTAGTGCGATGTTAGCAGAGTTTGGAACTGTTTTAAAGGGGAACGATGTTAAAACTTTGGGTTTGAATCTCAGTCCATTTTGCAGAATCATCATCCGTTAACCCGAAGTTGCCTCCGATTCCAGATCTGTCTTTTCCCTCAAACACATTTCAGTTTCTCTACATACTGTGAAAACGGCCAAACCTCATCTTCATCAAACACTTCATTTTTTAGTTGTGTACCAAATCTTTTTTTATTCAGAAATGTTTTAAACTTTCCTGTTTTCTAGTCTTCTCCTGTGAATTGATGGTATATCCACGAATGGTCTTGATTCAGATATATGCTAATATATTGGGCTGGTGAGGGGAGGATTTTGTTGCATGTTAAACGGTGGTGGGAGGGTTTAGTTTTAGTAAAATGTGAAAAAAAAATGTCTTCACTTAAACCACTATCACTCACAGGACGCATCCGCAGAGAATAAAGCACTTTAAGTGTCACTCGACCACTGTCTTTTCTGCAAAGTGCTGTGACTTTACACTTTTTCTTGAAGCGAAGGAACTGAAATCCCCTTCTTTGGCGCATCTCACTTGTTTGAGGCACTTTTACCATAATTCTGGATCTCAACTGTTTGGTAAAGGCCTACAATTTAAAGACTTATAAGAAATATTAATTATAAAGTGTCCTACATCTTAGCTATGTCATTTGTTCTGGGTTTTCTTTCTTCCAGGAACATTGAACTTTAAAGGGTTAAACTGTCTATAAAGCTGCTGTGTGTCAACTTTGTATTGTTTATCTTTGATGTATTTTAAAATCGGCAATTATCTAGATTAGTTTGATGCTTAAGCTGGAGTACTCAACTTTCAAACCATAACAATGGAACCATTGTATTATCCATGTCTCGAGTTCCTGGCTCTGAAACAGTTGCTCTATCACTAGTCCTCACATTTGTTTTTGACCTTAGTCACATCTTTAGATGTGCTCTCTGGTAATTCTCTGGTCTCTCTCTAGTCTCAGTTTGCTTTTACCAATGTTTTCACATGTACTGTATGTATTTTTGGCCTCTATCTCATCTTTGTCACTTTTCGGTCTGAAAAAGCTGATCTAAAGAGAGGACCTTCCTCACTCAGCCAATCAGCTCACAGCCCAAAGAGTCAAATATAGTGACTCGGGGTGCGTTCTTACAAGACTTGTTATACTTGTAAAAATTCTATGAGAGCTGCTTAAGACTTTGGACCAAAAAAGCAGGAGATGAAGTCTTTGTTAAAGTTTATGAAAGATCACAAAACAATTTACAACCACTTTATATCTGTTCTGGAAACAATTAATGAAGCAATGTCACCAAAACAAGCACATTTGAATCCCACCTACACTTTAGAATAGCTATGATCTGCAAACACCGATTGAATGCAGTAAGATTTTAAAGCAGTCGCTTTTATTTTGATTCAAGTTGATGTCAATTAATTAAAAACGTGCTATAGACGCCAACATTTTTGCAGAAATTAAATGTGAAACTGAAAAAATGGAGCACTTTATAAGGGAAAGATAAGTCAAATCTGTTAGACAGAAATACACGGAAAAAAGTAGGAAATGTCTCTATAGTGAGATCGATAAAGTTTATCTTATCTGTAGGAAGCCTGGGTGTTCTATAGATAGTGTTATAAGTGGGGAAACCTTTTCTACTCTGTGTGTTTGGCTTTTGCTCTTGGCTCAAGATGTCGTCCCTTTCCTATATTTCTAACACATTATGAGTGAAAGTGTCAGAAGCTTGGTTTTAAACTCTGAAGCTGAGGCTGTTGTGATTTAAACACAGTTTAGCCTCAGTCTGGGTGAGAGTCTGCTTGAGGGTTGGCCTCAGCCTGGATGGGTGTCTGGTTGAGGGTTGGCCTTAGCCTTAGCCTGGGTCGGGGTCTGGGGGTTGGTCTCAGCCTGGGTGGTGGTCTGGCCAGGAGGTCATTGGTTGCAGGGGTTGGCCACTCGTCCTGTGAACAGCAGGGCGTTGATGGTGGACTCTCTGATTACGAGGAGGAACGGCCGATCCGCCACAAACACTTCTCTGTTTGGTTTGAAGGAGCGACCAATGGCCAACACCGCAGTCGCAGCTGCCGCCTCGCTGCCCTCCTCGTTCACCTGAGACAATTGCATAGAATTCACATGTATGTTTGGCCTCTGTCCCTTTGGTCTCACTCTGGTCCTTCATATTTTAGATATGATATGAATATAAGATATTATTTCAGATTCTAAAAGGTATATAGTCTCATGTTTATACTCACCTCGAGAAAAGCTTTGTGATAGGCCTCTGAGATGAACAGAGTGTCGCTGCCGTCCTCCAACATTCCTTCAAAAACACAGAACACATAGATCACTTCTTTGTTGATTTTATCTCTCTGGTCTCTCTCTTTGGTGTCTCTCTGGTCGCTCACCAGGCAGGCTGGCTCTCTCTGCATTGAACAGATCCGTCAGCCCCATGGTCTCCAGCTTGTCCTTAAGACTGAACTGGTCTTCCACTTTGAACTTTGGGACATGCACAGAGACTGTCTTCTCCTCCATCAGCTCCATCCACGACGACAGCTTCTTCAGGTCTAGACCTTCCTCGATCTGATGGGACCAGAGGGTTGCCATGGTTACTTTGGTTTGTGTTAGAAAATAAAACTAATAAAACTCGCTGCTCTCTCTTTCTCTGGTCTCTCTCTCTCCTGTCTCTCTCTGGTCTCAAAGTGGTATCATTCTTAACCCAGTTGTGCCCAAATCTTTTTCAGAGTGTTAATGCATATAATGTTATTAGTTGTGTGCCCTAGAATCAAGAAATGTAGTATATATTTTTTTTTTATTTTGGACCTTGCCTTGAAGAAAATTGCATTTTTAGGGCTAAATAGCTTGTCAGTAGGTCATCATGGATATTATAACTGGATATAATCAACCCAGAAAGTTTGTGATCAGCCAAACTGATTGTGATTGATTCCTCCTTTTTAAAATCTAAAACAACAAACAACTTGAACGGTTTCTTTATTCTAAAATACAAAACAAATGTTGTGAAAAGGGAAATTTCCCATTGGCAATCCAAAAAATGGCATTAGCCTACAAGTACTTTCTATTGCTTTTCTTTTCCCAACAGTAAAAAAATAACAAAGACTGATGCCAAGGGTAATTTCAAGAAAGTATATTATAGATATCCATGTTATAATAAATGTATTCTGCCCTATACACACTCACGCAGTATGATACTTGAAGCACTCCACGTGTAGCGGCACAACACATTTCTCACAGAACTTGCATCGCTTGTACTTGTACTTGTACTCGCTAGCGCTGTTGCAGGGCCAGTGGTTGAGGTTGTCGAACCTGTTGGCATCAGCCATGCCCACTTCGTCTTACTCCAGGCATGTCCAAACTCAGGCCCCCGGGCCAATTGCGGCCCTCTGCTGCACAAAGTTGCCATTGAGGCACTTTGACAGTGTCATCCAACTAACTTCAGCTCCTCCAATACAGTCATTCTATACCTCGCTGTAAATCTCAGACACTCTGGAATCCAGTCGTTGACTATGGTTATTTACTTACATTTGTTACTTACAAAATCCTACAGACATAGGCTTTGAATACCTGTGAATACTTTATTTAGATGTGAAGAGTAATCTAAGAGGTTTAAAATTTGCCAGTGTACACCATTCTACAATTAGAAATAAGTAAATTATTCTCCTCTTCTGTTTAATATTTACATGTTGCCTCTAGGTCAGTTGATTCACAGTAATAATGTCTCTTATCACAATTACGCTGACGATACTCAGGTCTATGTGTCCCTGACTGCAGGAGAGCATGAACCAGTGGACTCGCACCTTCACTGTGTCCAGCAAATCGGTGATTGGATGCAAAATAACTTTCTCCAACTAAACACCGACAAAACTGAAATAATTGTTTTCGGACCCCAGAAACAAAGAGAGAGCGTTATTTGTCACCTCCAGGCTCTCTCTCTACAACCCTCAAATCAGGTCAGAAATCTAGGAGTGATAATGGACTCAGACTTAAATTTCAAAAGCCACATAAAATCTGTAACATCAGCAGCTTATTACCACCTAAAAAACATTGCTAAAATTAAAAACATAGTGTCTAAGGCAGACTTGGAGACTCTTATACACGCTTTTGTCTCCAGTCGGTTAGACTATTGCAATGGCCTGCTCACAGGTCTGTCCAAACAGGCTGTAAAACAGCTGCAGTACATTCAACATGCAGCAGCTCGAGTCCTGACCAGAACTAGGAAGTACGACCACATTAGTCCAGTTCTCAGGTCTCTGCACTGGCTTCCTGTTCCTCAGAGAATAGACTTCAAAGCAGCTTTACTTGTGTACAAGTCTCTCCATGGTCTCGCGCCAAGGTACATCCATGACATGTTTGTGCCATATGAACCGACCCGGACTCTGAGGAGCACAGGGACTGGACTCCTGTTAGTGCCCAGAGTCGGTACTAGACATGGGCAAACTGCATTTCAGATTCATGCGGCTAGAGTCTGGAACAGTCTTCCTGAGAATGTGAGACAGGCGTCTACTCTGGCATCTTTTAAATCTAGGCTCAAAACAATTCTGTTTAGCTGCGCATATACAACTGAATGATTTTATCTTTTCATCTTTGTTTTTATCTTTAATCTTTTTAATGCACTGTGACTATTTATGATTTTAGTCCCATCTGTGATTTTAATGTTTAAAGGTTTTTAATTTTTGTGATTTTATTTTTAATGTTTTTAATATATCTTGTGCTCTTAATGTGTTTGATTTATGCATGATGTGATAGGGGATGTGAAGCGCTTTGCGTTGCCTTGTGTAGGAAAGGCGCTCTACAAATAAACGTTGATTGATTGATTGATTGAAATTATGAGGCACTGTTATTATGTATACTAGGCATTGTTTTCCTTTCCTTTAGTGACATATGTGCCCACCGACAACTAAAGTTGCTGCGCACAGAAACATGTCCTTAACTCAAAAAATATTTATCCCAGGTACAATGTTTTGAGGGAGGGTTACTTTAGAGACTTGAATGATCAAATAATTATGTCTATGTTTGCGGGAAAAATTATTCAAAATGTATGAAAATGACCTCTTTCTGGGATGGTTTGCGTCATCCATGTTTTCACTCGGAAGGGACTGGAAACTGATAATGTCACGTGACATGTCTAAGTGTTTTAGCAAATAAGTGGAAAAACCTGCATTAATACCTTTGATTTTTTTTTCTGTGAGTAGAAAATGACTATGATAAACTTTGGCAACTATAGCTGCCGGTGCTTGGGGCCAAATGGGTTAAAGCCCATATATAACACATAACGGTACCTGAGCCAGTGAGGTACCAGGGTGAGGCAGGATGAGCACCATGGTGATGTCGTCTCCGCTGTAGGGCATCTCCAGCAGCTGCAGGTGCTCCTCGGGTAGCTCCTGGTACTTGAACTTGGTCTCCTGGTACATCATCTGTACCGAGCAGGTCTGCTCCGCAGACACGTGGAAGTCCGAAGCAAACACGTTTTCTTTGTCAAACTTATGCTTCCACTGGCCCTGAGAGAAATACAGCTTCAGATATCTGCGACACTAAACAAAGTATTGACTCAAAAGTATTACATCTTTGAACAGAAGTGTAATGATTGTATGGACTATTGTGTTGCCACAACAATGACTTATTAATGCTGTTTGTTTGTATACAATAACTTTAAATTTTAGCTCAAAATAACAATGTATGACGCCGCTAGTTTAATAGTTTAAGATTGATTAAAAACAAAAAAATCAAGAAATGTCCAATTTTGTCTTGTTTTGAGCATAACCAGTTTTAAAACACCCATTCACAGACACACAAACAGACATACACAGACACACAAACACACACAGACCTTGAAGTAGATGGTGTTGACCAGGACCAGGATGGTGGTAGAGTCTATAGCTCCTGGAGGCAGAGTGTGTTTGATCCTGTTTTCTGTTTTATTAGCAATCCACTCGTTGATGATCACACGAGAAGCTTCAGGGTCCTCCTGAAGAAAACACATCATCAGACTGAATTCTGACCCTGTCAGAGAGTCTAAACTAGGACTAAGCCAGGTCTAAACCAGGACTAAATCACCTTAAAGTTGAGCGGCAGGAGTCTGGTCCCGTAGACGGTCTCGCTGATGTTCTGGTAGGTCTCGTTGAAGCTCAGAGACTTTTCTCCAAACAGTCGGTTAGCAGAGACCAGCTCCGTGGTCTCGTCCTTCTTCCTGAACAAGCGACAGTTCAGTTTGGCGAAGAAGTAGTGCACCTGGTCCGAGGTCTTCTCTTTGATGGTGTCGAACTCAAAAACCTGAAACAAGGTCCTGTCAAAACCAGTTCTCTGAGAAACATGGACCAGACTCAGATCAGACCCAGATTCTTTATCATTAAGGAGACGATGGAGCTGTCTTGTATGCTGATTTTTGTTATGCCTCACTCTATTCTTTACCTCTCTTCTTTGACTGTTGCCCTGAGCCAAAGCAGTTTCCCTGTCTGTGACTTCCTGTTACTTACATGGCAATAAAAAATATTATGATTCCATTTGCATTTAACATGTTTCAAAGTCAGTTCCAGTATTGTAGTGTTTGGTCATGCTCACCTTCATGGTCTGCTCCCAGCCATGGTCTCCTCACCTTCATGGTCTCCTCACCTTCATGGTCCGCACACCTTCATGGTCTCCTCACCTCCATGGTCCGCTCACCTTCATGGTCTCCTCACGTCCATGGTCTCCTCACCTCCATGGTCCGCTCACCTTCATGGTCTGCTCCCCTCCATGGTCTGTTCACTGACATGGTGGCTCACCTTCATGGTCTTCTCCCCTCCATGGTCTGTTCACTGACATGGTGGCTCACCTTCATGGTCTTCTCCCCTCCATGGTCTGTTCACTGACATGGTCTCCTCACCTTCATGGTCTCCTCACCTCCAAGGTCTCCACACCTCCATGGTCTACTCCCCTCCATGGTTTCCTCCCCACATGGTCCGCTCACCTTCATGATCTGCTGCAGTGTGTGGTTGCAGGCGCCCAGCTTGGTCATGGCGAAGGCGGTGGAGACGCTGATCGGTGACATGAACATGTTTTCTGAGGCAGAGCGTCCGGAGCTCAGCTGTTTGTAAAGAGACAGAGCAAAGGCACCGTTCGCCCGCGACAACTCCCACACACGAGGGTTTGTGTTCTCTGGGACAGGGTCCGAGGTGGGGGAGGCTGAGGGGAGAGAGAGAGAGATGAGTGTCAGAGGCTGAGGAGAGAGAGAGGTGAGGGTCGCAAGTGGGGGAGGCTGAGGGGAAAGAGGTGAGGGTCGGTGGAGGCTGAGGGAGGCAGAGGGGAAAGAGGTGAGGGTTGGAGGTGGGGGAGGCTGAGGGGAGAGAGGTGGGGAAGGCAGAGGGGAGTTCCTGGGGCTGGGCTGGGCGATAAATCAATCAATCGAATTTGTGAAAATGGTGAAATCAAATGGAGGATATTGTGAGAGTTCCAGCAGCACATGACTGTTTGTACAAGACTTTTATAACACGTACTGGGGGAAACAAATTAAAATTAGTTTTGAAACTTGAATATTGAGCAAAAAGATTAAAAAAAGTATTTTTAAGATCAAAGTCTGTCTTCGGTGACTTTAATGAAAATAAAATCGAAATCGTCCAAAATCGAGATGTTACTTTTTTGCCATTTGCCCAGCCCTAGTATGTGTGTGTGTTTGATGGTGCTGGTACCAGTTACAGTGTGTGTTTGATGGTGCTGATACCAGAGACAGTGTGTGTGTGTTTGATGGTGCTGGTACCAGTTACAGTGTGTGTGTGTGTTTGATGGTCCTGGTACCAGTAACAGTGTGTGTGTGTGTGTGTGTGTGTGTGTTTGATGGTCCTGATACCAGAGACAGTGTGTGTGTGTTTGATGGTGCTGGTACCAGTTACAGTGTGTGTGTGTGTGTGTTTGATGGTGCTGGTACCAGAGACAGTGTGTGTGTGTGTGTGTGTGTGTGTGTGTGTGTGTGTGTGTTTGATGGTGCTGGTACCAGTAGGAGGTTCATCTGGCTCCACAGTTCTGTAAACACAGCGCGGCTCCAGCTCCAGGTCTTTGGGTTTAGAACTGCATATGTCAGAGAGAGAGAGGGCGAGCAAGGGGGCGAGCGAGAGGAGGAGAGAGAGGCACACACGCACACTGCACACACAGATGCACAAATATACACACAAACAGACAGATATACACACACAGACAGAGAGAGACACACACACAAAAACAATTAGGTAAGACAAGTGAAAAGACTGCATTCAATAAAAAATGATAGATTACTAATTGCAGCTAAAATATGGAGCAGTCTTCCTGAAAATGTGAGACAGGCTTCTTCTCTGACCATTTTCAAATCCAGGTTAAAAAAAAATCTGTTTTGCTGCAACAACTGAGGGATTTTATCTTCACTCTTGTACATTAATGTCTTGTGTGATTTCATGTTTTGCTCATCACTTTGAGTCGAGCCTTGTGTATGAACTGTGCTATACAAATAAACTTGCTGCTGAAGTAAACACAATGATTTCCTGAGTGAAAACTTAGGGAGAACAGAGACTAGAAATATGAGCTGGTTTAGTCTCCAACTGTCCTGAAACATATGCGGTTTTTAAAGGACCTATTAAATTGCCTCCTCTTAAAGCTCGGGGACCTACATTTCAAACCATAACCATTAAACAATGAAATATTATCCATCATTAGCTTGTGTAACTAGCTCTCCTATGCATCTGTGTGTGTGTGTGTGTGTGTGTGTGTGTTAGATCAGTGAAACAGAAAACCATCCTCAAGTTTGTTGTATGAGATTAATCTGAGAAGGAAAAATAATAGTAATTGCTCTAAACTTGTGTCGCCTTTTTCTGTTACTGTAAATATTGTGTGTTTTGATGAATTAAAGTTCTCTAATTGGACCTTATCTAAAGTTCTCAAAACTGCAGGTTCCGCACTCGTTACACTCATAAATAAAACACTACATGTTTACCTTCCTCTGCGTCAAATACAGAGAGTACCCATGTTTATTTGTCAAGATTCTTTCAAACTGACAGAGCAGTAGCATGATACAAACATTTGGATAAAAAGCATAATCTTACCGAAATCGTTGCATATTCTCCATGTTTCACTAAAACAGAACTAAAACCAGAGTGAACCGGGTCTTAACCAGGTCAGCGTCCCACAGAACAGACTTCAACCTTTGTACAAATCAATCTGAATCCTCTGTATGCTCAACTCTCACATCTTTTAGACTTTTTATAAACAAGATTTATTTTTTTTACCTTGTTTGTAGGAACTATGTCCATTTAAATATAATGAGAACATACAATAAAATAATACTTAACAATAATCATAATAACAAATGCAGACAAATGTATCCGCAATCTCGTCCTTTTGGTCTTTGCCCCCTCCCTCTCCTCTGGTGCTGATATTTGGGTAGAGAGCTCTGAATGCACACGCTGCTCCATCCTTCCCTCACTCATGAACAAAACCCTGAGAGACTTGAAGGAGCTCTGCATGAAAAGGACTTTCGACAGATCCTGAAAACTATCAAACTATTTTAAAGACAGTTTTTGGCACATGTATTGTGTTCATATGGGCTCTACGGCATGTCGCATGTTATTGTATTTGATGTTTTATGCCCTGTGCCACTGGTGAGATAAATAAAGGAGTCTGAATCTGAGACATTCCTGTTGGACTGATCCCGAGTTGGACTTGGACACGCAAACACACTTCTATCCGTGGGTTGGTCACGGTTTGTTTATGCTGGAGATTTCAACACCACACAACTACACAAGTTCAAACAGAATCACAAACAGAAACAGACCAAAGATAAATAAAAACAAATTTTATTAAAAGATAAATTATAAAAAAGAAACTTAGAATACACTTAAAACACACATTAAAAAAGGCAGATTTCAGAGACCAGAGAGAGAGGCTCAGGTCGACGCTGGAGGAGGAAGAGCATGGGAGCGGAGAGAGGTTAGGCGAGAAACCAGGGTAGCCAGGTTTATGCAGGTGAGAGAACTGTAGGATGAGAGAACACAGTCAGACAGAGAGAGTACTGTAGGAGAGAAACAGAGTCAGAGAGAGAGACCAGAAAGATACCAGAGGGAGCCTGTAGATACAGCACCATTTCATAAAAGATCTACAGACTGAGACCTATACAGAGAATATCTATGTTTATAAAGAATGAGCTAAAATAACACTGGTGATTCTGCTCCTTCAGAAATCATAGAATGACAATTTAGACGTTTGGCAGTTTGTTCATCAAAAGGAAACTTCTTGGATTGAATTAATTTAATATAAATGTATGTAATTGTTGCAGATTTATGAGTTTCAATGGATCTTACTCCAATATAATCTCCACGTGAGACAGTGACCAGGGGAAGAACCAGGGCACAGAGACTGTCTCTCAGCTGGGAAGGCCTCAGGATTCCCCCAGATGAGCTGGAGGAGGTGTGTGTGGAGAGAGAAGTCAGAATCTCAGTGGCTCAGACTGCTGCCCCTGCAGCAACACGGTAATGGATGAAGCGGAAGAACATAGATAGATGATGGATCAAATATTTGTCATCTGGTCTTTGATGTGTTTTGGGTGCATTAAAAGGCACTGTATAAATTCCTACTATAATTTAAAACATCAGTTTGCGTGTGTTTTAATGCTAATACATTAGCATTAGCATGCATTAGCATTCAAACACAGTAAAACCATTCCTCTGTTGCCTCCATCTTCTCGTGCCTCAGAACAGTTTAGGGAGCTGCCTCAGACGACTCAGGTCTAGAATGTTTCCCACAGATCCATGATTCTCCACCGTATTCCTCCTCCTTGGTGTGTTCTCCTTGTCCTCCTCACCGGCGCCCCCTTTAGGCCTGTTCAGCAGCTGCATCTTGGGCTTGAGCTGCCGGATGAGCTGACTCTGCGGTGGGAGGGGCTCATAAAATGACCGCCTCTCCTCCTCCTCCTCCTCCTCTTCTTCCTCCTCCTCCTCGATGAGGCCATAGCGTCGCATGTACTTCCGTGTGGCCAGAGACATGTTGCTGGGGGAGAGTAGGGTGAGGTCTGCTTGGCTGGGGGAGGCAGTCTGGGGGGGAGGCAGGGTGAGGCAGGTGAGCTGGCGATCGGAGAGGTAGCGCAGGGCTATGGCGTTGGCCTCGAGACTCAGGTCGACACTGGAGGAGGAGGAGCGAGGGAGCGGAGAGAGAGAGGAGGTGTGGCGAGAGGAGGTGAGGCGAGAGACCAGGGCATCTGGGTTAATGCAGGCAAGAGTACTGTAGGACAAAAGACACTCAGTCAGAGAGAGACCAGAGCGAGACAAAGAGAGAGACGGACACCAGAGGGAGAGACAGATAGAGATCAGAGAGAGAGTTCATGTCATATTTGAGTATTATTTCCTTCTGAATGTTTTAAAGATCTAAAGCATGTAGTTCACCTGGCGCTGTCCACTGTCGCGGTTCTCTCTCTCGCGCTCTCGCTCAGATCTCGTTGGTCGAGTTTCACTCCGAGCTGCTGCAGCCGCCGCATGGTGGCGCTCATCACTGCGTCCTCTCCCTCTGCTGCTCTGGGGGACTTCTTCCTCTGCTGCTTAGACCCTGAGACCGGAGCTGAGACCAGAGACTGGACCGGAGCTGAGTCCGGAGCTGAGACCTGAGCTGATGCTGGAGTTGATACCTGAGACTGGTCCAGAACTGAGACCGGAGCTGAGACCTGATGAGCAGGACTCTGGACTTGAGTCTGGACCCAACCTGGTGCTGAGGAGGAGAGAGAGGAGCGATCTAGACTCTCTCGCTCCACTTCCTGTTTCGTCTCCTTCTCTTCGGGCTTTGTCCGGTCCTCTGGTTCGGTCTGGTCCTCAGGTTCGGTCTGGCCTTCCTCTCGCAGACGACTGCTCAACTGCGTCTGAAAAACATTAGCTTTAATACGATCCAATAGAAACAGGAATCAAAAATAAATACTGAAGAAAAATGTGGAAAAAGAGTGTCCCTCTGTTGTGTATTATTGTATGTATTGTATAGTTATGTTTTTGATTTCAACTGCATGATATCATTATAGTGCAATATGTCTCTTATGTATGGTTTGCATTCTATGTGACAGTGAACCATGTGAGGTTGTACCATGAGGTTGTGGTAGAAGCTGCTCTGATGGTCCTCCTGGGGCTGGTACATGCTGGCGCTCTCCCCCAGGACTGGGCTCTCCACAGCGCTCAGACTGAAACAGATTCAGATTCATTTTAATAGCCATGTGCAGTATAAAAACCACATTGGAATACATTCGCAAAAAAGGTACTCTGTGTGCACCGACAGAATAAAGAGCACAATACAATGTAATATAAGATACACATACACTGAAAATGAATAAATAAAAAACAGCTGACACTGTGGCACCGATCAACAAAAACGATTGCAAGGGGTAAAAGAAGGAATTAAAGTGCTCTGTTTAGGCACCTAAAAGCCTGTGGAAAGAAGCTGTTAGCATAGCGGCATGTCCTGCATCTCAGCGACCGATATCTTCTGCCCGAGGGAAGAAGCTGGAACATGGCTTTCCCAGGGTGGCCAGAAGAGTCATTGATGATTTTAAGAGCTCGGTTTAAAAGTCTGGATTTACAGTGCCTTGCAAAAGTATTCGGCCCCTTGAACCTTTCAACATTTCGCCACATTTCAGGCTTCAAACATATACAATTTTAATTTTTTGTCATGAATCAACAACAAGTGGGACACAATCGTGGAACAAAATTCATTGGATAATTTAAACTTTTTTAACAAATAAAAAACTGAAAAGTGGGGCGTGCAATATTATTCGGCCCCTTTACTTTCAGTGCAGCAAACTCACTCCAGAAGTTCAGTGAGGATCTTTGAATGATCCAATGGCGTCCTAAATGACTGATGATGATAAATAGAATGCACCTGTGTGTAATCAAGTCTCTGTATAAATGCACCTGCTCTTTGATAGTCTCAGGGTTCTGTTTAAAGCGCAGAGAGAACCATGAAGACAAAGGAACACACCAGGCAGGTCCGAGATACTGTTGTGGAGAAGTTTAAAGCCGGATTTGGATACAAAAAGATTTCCCAAGCTTTAAACATCTCAAGGAGCACTGTGCAAGCAATTATATTGAAATGGAAGGAGTTTCAGACCACTGCAAATCTACCAAGACCCGGCCGTCCCTCCAAACTTTCATCTCAAACAAGGAGAAGGCTGATCAGAGATGCAGTCAAGAGGCCCATGATCACGCTGGATGAACTGCAGATAACTACAGCTGCATTTCAGGTCGTTTGACAGAGTTAAACCCAAGAACTTGCACTCCTCTACAATCTGTACCTGGGAGTTGTAACACAGGCACCATTCAGTCTGAGAGAGACCAGGGAGAGACGAGAAAGAGATCCGAGAGAGAGACCAGGGAGATCCCAGAGAGAGAGATCAGAGAGAGAGACCAGAGAGCAACAAGAGAGAGAGACCAGGGAGAGACCAGAGTGAGATCAGGGAGAGACAAGAGTGAGACCAGAGAACGACCAGAGACTTGGGAGAGAGACTAGGGAGAGAGACCGGAGCGAGAGACCAGAGACCAGAGAGCTACACTAGAGAGCCACACAAGAGAGCGACCAGAAAGAGAGCAGAGGGACAGAGAATAGAAGGAGTATAAGGTTTTCTCCATGATTTAACTGTAAAAAGGTAACTCTTCATAAGAACTGTACCCGTTGCGAGATGCGGCAGGAGAGGCGGCCGTCCTGCTCCTCTCGGCTCTGAGCTCGTTCTGATCACAGGACCCACGTTTGGAGGGGGGAGTGGCTATGCTTTGAGGGCGGAATCCAGCGCCCTCTACAGGGGGAGGAGAGGTAGAGGAGTCGCGACGCAGAGAAGGCGGCTCAGGCCAGAACAGAGATGCTCCTGGAGGTGACAAGGGACTGTAATCGACTGAACTCTTATGACATTATGGACAAAGCCTTAAACCAAAAGTATTTCCTCTGAATTAGTTTAATATACAGTACGCACATAAACTCAAATCAGAAGAAAAGTATGAAATTGCTTAAAAACATAGAAAAAGCCACAGTTTGCGTTTTACACCAAAAGTATTGCCTCTAAGTAACTCTAATAGCTGTTTTTATACAGCTAATGGAGATCGTAATAAATACAAATACAAATACAAAAGTACGTTTAAATTACTCTGGTCAAATTACATTAGTAATTTATGCATCTTACCTGTGCCCACTGCGATGCTGGCGGTGGTTTTGATCTGAGTCTGAGTTTGATGTTGGGTCGACTGGGGCTTCCCTTGAGCCTCCAACAGCATCTGCACCTGGACACAAGAACATCGGCAGCAAGATGAGGTCTCCCAAATAACATTTAGTATTTGTGGAAAATGATTGTATGTGTGATACAATTCAAAGTTCTATATGGAGATTTACAAGACAATTTTGGCAAGACTTTTTTTTTTAAAAGTCACACACCAAGGATTCTATCTTGACACCATAAACTGTATACAGAAAGACAAAGCAGCTAGCTCAATGAAGTGCTCCATCTGTCTCTGGCTCCTATTGACTTCTGTGTAAAAGTTTGTGTCACACTCCCCATTATGGGCTTAAATCTGTGATTTAGTGCTCTCTGTGATCCTGGTGTTTGTATTTTTATATTGTCCAGATATGAGGGTTTAATAAAAAATTAAAGCTTTCCTTAGCAACCGCCTTAGCAACATGTCTACCCCTGTTAAGCTAACGCCATGGAACAAATGCCCATATAAGGAAATTAGCTTGCTTATGTTCAAATCAGCCTTTTCTGCATTAAAGTAATTGTCTGCAGTTTGTCAGAGAGAGAGGTACTTGATTTGAAAAAAATGACGCAAGCTCCCTCCCCCTTCCTTTCTGATTGGTCTACACCTACGTTTCCGTAACACATTTAAATGTTAATGGGAAAACATATTATACATTAACATTATTAATACACATGCACGGAGGTTTTCAGAATTATTTGTTAAAGTTTTTATGAAAAAAAATGTGTTTTTATGCACAAAAAAAGCAATCGCGGCAAACCCGGAAGTAGCTATTATCATGAATTGCACATTATAGGACACATCTGCAGAGGATCTGATTATGGATATAGGTTCAGTATATAAATGGATAACTCAGCGCGGATGTTCAGAATTCTTTGTTCAGTTTTCATGTAGTTCCAGAGCCTAATGGAGGCTTGATTCGGAGGCTCCGTGAAAACAAACAAAGCATGAGCGCAGCTACAAGTATCAGCGCAGATGATTGACAGCCCTTGGCATTACTCGATTGGTTAACGTGGACAGCATCGTGGATTTCTAGCTATAGCTAAGAGAAGGGAAGGCGGGACTTACCTGTAATATTAGAATTAATAAAATGACTTATTTTATATCAACATTTAAGGCCAGGAGGTCAATTTAAAACAATTCTTTAATTTTTTAATTCATTTAAAGTTACATACTATCACTTTAAGGCTAACCACTGTGGTGATATCACGCTCCCTCAGTCCGCTCCTGATATATAGTCTATGCGAGTGCTTCAAGTGATAGTCTGTAACTCTAAATGAATTACAAATTTTAGGAAATGTGTTAAATTGACCTCCTGGCCTTAAATGTTGATATAAAATAAGTCATTTTATTAATTCTAATAATACGGGCAAGTCCCGCCTTCCCTGCTCTTAGCTATAGTTCAGAATCCACGGTGCCGTCGAGGTTAACCTATCGAGTCATGCCAAGGGCTGTCAATCATCGGCGCTGATGCTCGCAGCTGCGTGCATGCGCAGTTGTTTGTTTTCGCGGAGCCTCCGAATCAAGCCTCTATTAGGCTCTGGAACTACATGAAAACTGAACAAAGAATTCTGAACATCCGCGCTGAGGTACTTATGTATATACTGAACCTATATCCATAATCAGATCCTCTGCAGATCTATGTGTCCTATAATGTGCAATTCATGATAATAGCACTTCCTGGTTTGCCGCGATCGCTTTTTTGTGTGCATAAAAACACATTTTTTTTCATTAAAACGTTCACAAATAATTCTGAAAACCTCCGTGCATGTGTATTAATAATGTATATGTATAATATGTTCTCTGATTAACATTTCAAAGTGTTACGGAAACGTGGGTGTAGACCAATCAGAAAGGAAGGGGGAGGGAGCTTGCGTCGTTTTTTTCAAATCAAGTACTTCTCTGTCTCTCTGACAAACTCCAGACAATCACTTTAAAGAAAAATAAAAGTGTGAAGGCCTCACCTGTTGTTGCAGTAGCCGCAGCTGCCTGTCCTGCTGCAGTAAGAGCTGGTAAGCCTCTGTGGACGAGAGCGCCACCTGCTGCTCACAACAGTGACCTGAACAGGACGCTGGGAGAGAAGGCGGAGCTTCCATCCCCCGAGCAAAGCAGGTACCCACGGTGTTGCTATGCCGAGTCCCTGGGTTCGGGTTTGGCAGAGTTTGAGAGAGTGGAGCTTCCATGGTTGCACCGTCGTCACAGCTTGGATTATTCTGTGGTGTGTGGAAAAGATTCGAAACTGGATTTGGTTGTGGCGTCTTTGGCTGAAACGAGCAAGACGTTTGTTGGTTTGGGTTGAACTGCGAGGGGTGGAAATTCTGCAAACTGGGATGAGAAACTGGGGTCGCCGTTGGTGTTTGGGTATTGGCTGGGAGCTGGGGTAAAGGTGACGAATTGGGGAATGAGTCAATGGGGGAATCCGTTGGCGAGGTTGGCAAGCTTTTTGAACCAGTTCGCATCAGATTTGCAGGAGTTTGAAACTGCCCCGATGATAAACAAGGCTTACTCTGCTTTACATGTTGAACTTGGAGACTGGGGTAACTTATCTGTCCTTTCTGAAGCCGATTTGAATGAATGCTAGATTGTGCTTGTTGGGCTTTTCGAAGCTGGTTTGTCGGCGAATGGTGATTGCCTGAATATGTGGGATAGACGTTTTGACCTGTCGGACTTTTTTGGCAGTTTAGCTGCAGTTTCTGGAAGTGTAATTGTGAGGAAGACTTTCTGGCTTGCGTCTGGTGGACATTTAAAGCAGGACTTCTATGGTCTATCATCTGCGTTTGCTGGTTGGACGTGGGGTGGATGGAGGTGCATTGATAGTCCTTGTTCTCGCAGCAGGCGCAGCCTGATGGGAGGTCAGAGTAAGGAGTGCTGTGAAGATTGTGGCGTAGGGGAAATGCAGGATTCCGGTCCGTGGCGGGAGGCGGGGCTTGGGGTTTGTGGGCGTTGTGATTGGACGAGAAGCTGTCGTCGACCAGCAGAGACAGTTCAGGCACCGATGGCTGGATCATTCGAGCCTTAAAGCGAGAATAGAGGAATATTTATTTATGTTTGCATGCCTGGATTTGATTCTGCTGCTGGACACCTGGATTTCTCCTACAGGAATCTAAAGTATCAATCTAACTACTGTTTATCTATCTAAACATCTATCTATCTATCTACATACCTATCCAATTTATGCAGGTAAATATTTACCTGCTTTAAACGTCGATTTTGCAAACAAGCCCCATTCAAAACAACACAGTGGCTATACCTGCTTGTCTGGTCTCAACAGATATAAAGCTAAGCAAGTCAGAAGCTGTTAGGTACTCTGATGAGCGACCGCTGAGTGAATGAATGAGAAGGAACCAATATCACAGGGAGGCAGTGAGTGAGATTAGATATATTGATTTTATAGATTCATAAAAAGCCTGAAAAGCGCATTACAGGTGTGAGGTATTACTGTTATTATTGTCAATACAGTAAAAGGTTCCAGAGTAGAAAACTTGTGGCTCTTAGTAAAAAGTTGAAAAAAAACCTACTGATAGAAGAAAACTGTTTTGAGAGCAGAAGATTATGGCATGGATTATTACATAGTTCTAGATGTTCTGGTAAAAAATAGGTACCCAAGCTTTAAGTGTACCAGTGGCTGCAGCAAGGGAACAGAAGGAGACTGACCTGTTGGACTGAGGGGACGTGTGGACTTGGGGACGGTCTGGGGGACAGGTCCTCGTCCTCGACCCCAGAGTCTTGGTCGGTCACAGAGAGGACCAACGCTGGAGAACTGAGGAACAGCAACAGGATTAAATCACACAGAGACCAGAGCGACACCAGAGAGAGACCAGAGAGGGAGACCAGACAGAGCCTAGAGAGAAAGATGTCACAGAGAGAGACCAGAAAGAGAGACCGGAGAGAGAGACCAGAGAGACACCAGAGAGACCAGAGAGAGACCAGAGAGAGACCAGAGAGAGAGACCAGAGCGACACCAGAGCGACACCAGAGAGAGAGACCAGAGCAGAAGACCAGAGAGAGACAAGAGAAAGGCCAGAGAGAGAGATCGGAGAAAGGCCAGAGAGAAAGAGCCCAGGGAGAGCCCAAAGAGAGAGAGACCAGAGAGAAAAAAGACACAAACCTGCTGAAGGCCCTGTGCGCCTGTGTGAAGACGGCTTCCTGCGTGGAGCTGCTCTCTGTCCCAAGATCGCACCTCAGAGTCTGACCATCCACCGACGCCACCTGCTGGACACAACATGTCACATCCACTGGTCCCCTCCAATCTGACCTGTACCATTATCTCGGACTCTGGTTTGAGAGAGTTTAATACCTGGTACAGTGTGGCGGTGTGGTGACCAGTGAGGAGCTGGAAGCTGAGACCAGGACCATCCACTTTACACTGAAAGAACTGAGGAGCTCTGTGTGTGGAGGCGAAGAGCAGCAGCAGGAACTTCCTACTCTCAGACAGGACTCTGCAAACACAACAGAGAGATCAGGAGAGAGAGCCCCACACAACAGAAAGGATCATATTCTCTTCCCAAATAGTAGTACCAACTCAGACCTCTTCCCTCTAGGGCTAAAGCCAAAGACACAGTTTAATTATGAGACTTAAGTTAAATTGGGTTGAAATGTAAAGCATCAACGTTCTGACTGCTCACTTTGTTATGAATGATATATGGGGGTGGCACGGTGGCTGAGTGGATAGCACTCTCGCCTCTCAGCAAGAAGGTCCTGTGTTCGAATCCCGGTCGGAACGGGGTCTTTCTGAGTGGAGTTTGCATGTTTTCCCGGTACTTGCGTAGGTTTCCTCCGGGTACTTCGGTTTCCCCTACCACTAAAAACATGCTCACTAGGTAAAATCCTCCAGCTCTGGTAGTCCTGACCAAGAGCATAAACATCTGGAGATGGGTTCCCGGGCGCTGTTACTACGGCGACCACTGCTCCTGAAGTAAGCCTTAGCGGCAACAAGATGGGTCAAATGCAGTGGATGAATTGCCCTACGGGGCAGTGTTGTGCGTGAACGAGTTCAAAATAATGCGTTCATTGAACACGCTCATTTTTTTGTGAACGTTCAACTGAACGCAACACATTTTTAAAAAAAGAACTTGAACGTGAATTAGTTCATTTTATGTGTCATGAACGGCAGACATCACTTTGAACGTTGGAATCTGTTTTCTCTTTTGAAACGCAACGAGAGAAAGTTCCTCCCTCCTGTATTCTCGCACTTTTTCCGCCGAAATCTAAAAATTCCTACGGTTTCCACCGTCTGTGAACGCACCCCGACTCCGTGTTGTGGTGCGGCGCTGTGAGCTGGTGCTTTTCACATGTGCCCGAGTCGTGATGAAAACACAGGGTGAGTTAGCGACACAGTTTACACCGTTTACATTTGACATAAAGTATAGACACACGCACTACAGCGCATTACTGTTTGTAGTTTATGAGCAGAGATGGGACAACTCCGTTTTGCTCCCATTGAAAACCATGTAAATCTGGTCTGTTTTGTAGTCAAAAGGCTCTCCTCCTGTGGGTGTACAGGATATATATATATATAGCTCGTAGTGTGAAAAACATATGTATTTGAATATCTCACGAAAAAAGTAAAATGAACTGAACTTTGAACTAGTTCAGAATTAAAAATGTGAACTTTGAACGTGAACTGTTCACTTTGAGCATGTATGAACTGAACTTGAACTAGTTCAGAAAATCTGTGAACTGGCACAACACTGCTACGGGGATCAATAAAGTGCACCTTTACCTTTAACGCAAGCTCACAACTGCAGATCGAGTCCTGACTAGAACCAGGAAGCACCATCATAGTTCTGAGACCAGAACTATGATGGTGCTTCCTGGTTCTCTGCTTCTTGTGGCTCAGAGAATAGTCTTAAAAGCAGCTGTTTGTTACAAGTCACCAAAGTTCATCTCTGACATATTAGTGCCATATGAACCAACTCTGAGGAGTACTGGGACTGGCCTCCTACTGGTCCCAGAGTCAGGACTAAACATGGGGAGGCAGCGTTTCAGATTTATGCAGTTAAAATTTGGAGCAGTCTCTCTGAAAATATGAGACAGGCTTCATCTATGACAATATTCAAATCCAGGTTAAAAACAGTTGTTTCGCTGAACAGTTAAAACTCACCGGTCCTGAATGCAGGAGCTGTAGAGGAAGCGCAGAGTCCAGGCCCAAACCTGAGGACTGTGGACCTGAGTGACTCCACTGAACCAGCTGAAACACAAACACACACTTTACATACACGTCTACACACACGTCTTCCATCGCACATCAGAATGTTTAGAATGATGCACTCACACTCCGACCAGAGGCAGACTGAGGGCTTTAGGGTCCGACTCCAACAAGAGCAGCAGCTTCCGGCTCTGATCCATCGTCACGTAACTGGAATAAGAGGAAACACTTCAATCTGCTGGTTCTCGCTTTGTGATTGGCCCAGTCCCTCAGATCGGCCATGCCCCCCCTGTCTCTCTCACCCCTTCTGCCTGTGCGGGGCGCTAGGCCGGGCCGGGCTGGTGAGACTCCGCAGCAGAGCGGTGGGAATCACGTGCACGGCTCTGACCGGCTCCACGTGCACGCTCGTGGAGGGACTCACACAGGTCCAGGTCAGGCTAAAGTCCGCAGAGTCCAGACCCTGAGTCCAGACCACGTGGAGTCCCAGGCGGAGGATTTGAGACAGGTCCAGGGACTGACGGCCGCTGATGCACTGCTGCAGGGTCTGGGACAGGAGGACAAATATGTTAGAGATTTGTTAGAAATATGTTAGAGAGCATTCACCAACTCAACACATTTAGTCTCAGGGAACCGGACTTAAAACCAGTCACTGTCAGCAGCTTGTAACAACCCAAGCTTATGTTACTTATTTTAATATAATTTCTGCACATTTGTCAACATTTCTGAACCTGTGGTCGTGCCGCTTTTTGCAATACTGTTTGATTCTCTGATCTGCTGCTGGGGAATTGACAATTTTGAAAAGCCCTTCAAGATGACTGGTGCTGTGATCTAGGGCGATACATAAATACATCAATAGAGAGAGAGAGACCAGAGAGAGAGCCCAGAGGGACCAGTGAAAGAGACCAGAGAGAGAAGGGGGGGAAACTGTAAGGTGTTTGCTAATGCTTCAGGATGTTGTAAACAGTGTGTGAAACAGCTGTTTGCGACATCATGAAGCCAGATCAATGTTGCCATGACAAATAGATGCAGCTTTCTCCGACCTCTCTCACCATCTCCCAACAACAAAAAGTTAAATATCTGATGGTTTTCTTGTTGGAGACCTGTGCCCTGGTCTCACCTTAAAAGCCTGCTGCAGCTCGGCCTCTGATTGGATGAGAGCGCTGGGGTCAGAGGTGAACACAGAGGACGCACACACGTCTCCAGGCAGAAGAGCAGAGGGAACACTGGTGCCATTCTGGTCTCGACCCGGATCAAAGCGGTCCAGGGTCACCGTCACACCCTCCTCATCTGCAACACGTTCACACACGCTCACCTTAAGGATCTCAAACCACACCTCAAAGGGAAGTATGGATGCAGGCTTGACTTCCAACCAAAAAGAAACACACACTACATCTATTTCCTCAAGTGTCCCATCTTAACCTGAAGACCTGAGGAAATAGGTGGAGTGTGTGTGCTCCTGTTTGGTTGGTATGAAGTCCTGCAGTCAAATTGGCCCTCTGAGGAGCGGGTTGACTCCCCTGGATTACTCTAGCCAAATAAAAACATACACTTATTGCGGGAGACGGCTGTGCTACACAATCTGTATTATTATTACTATTATAGTTATGAAGGTTGAGAAGGTTTGTCTCAAGAGTGTAAAGAAACCAGATCATATACAGAGACACATTTATGAATGAATACATTAGTTATAGTGATAGATATGTACATTATTATTGTATGTTCAGAAAATAATTAATTATGATTATTAATAATGTTTTGTTTCAAAGGAGATAATATGATAAATTAAAATGTGTTATTAAATTTTACTTAATATAGCCAAATAAGGTGTTAAGATGGTTTCCCACAACACAACACATGGAATATACTGTCAATACTTCGACATCTAAATGGATTAGTTTGGAGCCAAATACAGAGGTGTGTTGAGAGCAGTCTGACCTGAGTCCACACAGACGGATCCTAGGAGGAAGCAGCGCAGCAGAGTTTTGGAGCTGTGTCTGAGGTGTCTCTGAGCCAAACGCAGAGCTCTCTCTGTGAGCTGCACTTGAGGAGCTCTGAGGAACATAACAGGTCAGCGTCACAAAGGACTGATACATGGTCTACCCTACTTCACAAAAACATGCAGCCACACAGCACTTTGAGGACAGAGTTGCAGACCCCTGTTCTAGTTTAAATGTTGAAAATGTTCTTTCAAATACATCTTCAAACACACAATAAATCAGACTCATGTTTAAAAGTCAATTCACCTGTGCGCACAAAGATGAAGGAGCAGGTTGTCTCCGGTTGGGGTCCCATCCCACAGAGCACACCTGGACTTTGGAAAACTCAGAGAGGAGAGAGAGTTCGCCACCGGCCTGAGGAAGAGAGTGTTTTTAAGTCATTCATGTGAGTCATCTTCACGGCCTCAGACATTATACCCTTTGATCCTGGTTCACACCTACTATTTGTTACTTATTGCTTTGTTTCTCTTATTTTATGAAAAGTATGATTCGGCTGATCGCTATAATAAACCTGCACCTACCCTGCTTGTTTTTTCCCTGAGGTTTGTAAATGTAAATATGTGCACTTTATTATCCCCGTAGGGAAATTTACCCTCTGCATTTGACCCCACTTACAAATGCTGCTAAGGACTCTGCTAGGAGCAGTGGTTGTTGCACAGTGATTTCCAGATGTCCAGACTTGGCTTGGTCAGACCCGGAGCTGGAGGACTTAGCCATTATTTTACCTACCTACCTATCTACCTATTGTGCTTGGAGCACCCAGAGGAAACCTACGCAGACAGGGGAGAACATGCAAACCCCACTCAGAAAGTGTTTGAACCTGCTGATATGCGAGAGTCTAGTTATCCACTTTTCCTCACTGGGTGTCTGAGTTGTTCCTTCAGGAGGGTCTAAGGACAGGATCAATGGGTCCAATGTGTTTGTTATTTTTGATTCTCTGATCTGTTTTTGTCGAATCGAAAAGTCGACTGCTGTTGTGATTTAGATCTGTGCACAAACTAGTTTAAATGAAAATGGCTGAGGAAAACAGAGCTGCTGTGTAGTGGACACTACTGATGTAGCAATAATAAGAATGAGTTAAACGTTGATTCAAACATAATTCCATTGAGAGCTAGAACTTTGTGTACCCCAGCTTTAACATCAAACTACAGAGCCTCTTTACACCGACAGAAGCGGTTCTCTTCTCCGTTACACCCACCTCACTCGCACATTCTCGGGCGTGAACACCTCCTGGTACAGGGCAGGGGGCAGAGCACGGAGGTCCACCGGGAAACTCATCGTCTGTGTGTCCACCCCGAGTGGAGCCTTTACCGGGTGACCTCACCAGGGACAGGAAGATCGGGGACCCAACACATCGGCCAGGACGGCGCTGGACCTAACCTGGCCACTTGCTTCTTCTCCCAAACAAGTGTATGGACGTTATTAAGTCTTGTTTGTGAATAAAAACCAGTGGAAATCCAAAGAACAGATGTCGTAAAAGTAAACAAAACGAAGTTTATGCTAGCGGTGGTTAGCCAACCTTTTTAGCCTAACACTCATTGCTTTTCTTCGCTGTGAGCATAAAAAATGCATCCTTTTGTGTACCGGAGCCGGTTAAATTCGGGCTAAAAGTGTAAAAAGTGTAAAAATCCTTCATTGAAAGACGAAGTTCGATTGTGGCGCTGTTTCTTCTTAGTCTGGCGGGGCTCCAGATTCAGCCAATAGGAAGGCGAGAATCAATCCATGTGACCAGTGTAGAGCTCGGTGAGTTCTGGTCATGGTTCTGTTACCTTGGTAATTCCGGTGGCCATCTTGTGATTGTATGAAAATGAAAACTACATTAGGGCTAGAAAGCACATAAATAGAATTATTTAGGTCGATAAATGATGGTTGTATAATACTGAAAGAACTTTACCAGATCGTGTCTCTATGCGCAGTGAAAATGTAATAAAAATACACTGAATTAAATTCAGTGTTTGTACAGCTTTTGAAGTGTAAAATTCAAGAACTTTTCAAGCACTTTCAAGGTAAAATGGGAACTTTTTCAAGGAACTGACTTTAAATATTATGCACAATAATAGACATACATGTTTTAAATGGCGCTTTGGCCCAAGAAAGCATTGTGGTATAACTCACATGCTGTAACCCTGACTGGGAGTCTCTGCACCCTCTCTTCAATGTTACAGACAACTCATCAAATTAAATGCATTGGGTTGCGCCGGTCAACTTATCATCCCCGACCATAGACCTTAGAAGAAAATCCGCTCTCAACCCTGTGAGTCAGAAAATGACTAAAAAAGCTCTTTCTCAAGCATGCAAAAAACAAAAACATGATAACCCACCTGTTGTGGTTCAATTAGTTTACATTTTACTTGTGGGCGCAACAAACATGCACGCTAGGGATAAAATAGCTTTAATGTTGCGAATTTTAGTGTCAGTGCTTCAGGAGGATAGATAGATAGATAGACACTTTACCGAACCCTGTAGGAGAAATTCAGGTGTCCAGTAGCAACAAAAATGAAAAAATAAAATTGATCATTGTAAAAAGCTAACAATAGTTATAATAAGCAACAGCCCTTCAGGTCACAGCAGCAGGACTGGACTGGATAGGTCTTACCAGTGTTAAACCATGAGCACAGTACTGCAGCAACATCAATGGTAAAAAAAAGCAATACAAATAAAAATTGTAAAACACAAAACAACAACTGTTTCAGAGCTACTTAGGACTTGCTGCCGTTTCCAGCGCATCAAAAGTAAAGCACAGGGGAGACACTCACTGAGGAGTGTCCATATTTCTTAACATGTTTCTAAAAAGCTCCCAAGGTCAATTTCTAACAAAGTATGGACAAATTTGGTCTTTAGCCGGGCAAAAGTGAGTTTAGTTATAAAGGACTATGGTTTACACAAGAGAACGAGGCATTCAACAATATTGGATGTTATGTTATTTTATTTCTGTAAAATAAACAGCAAGAGGTCTGGTGCACACTGGGATACTCTTGGACAGCTATTCCAATGTGGTTTTATTGCAAATAAAACCACAATTTCAATCAAGAAATAGGCCTGCACTATTACATTTCGTATCTATGCTGCTCAAAGTATATAATAATAATTTGATTTGTCTTGGTCCTTATATCATTCACTAGAACAGATCGCTGTCAGTCCGATTGCTGGCATATTACCGGTATTATTTGTCACCAGGTTGACAAATAACACAGCTTGTGCAGTTTGGAACGGCGAGTGCGCCCTCTGGTGGAGTTTGTGAAGAAATCTAACTTTGTTCATTGTTTTTAGATTTTGTCTCATAGTAAGGCAGACAATTCATTGATCATGAAAGCGTAGGTTGTCAACCATTGAAAAAACAAAGGTCAAGATCAGTTGTAGTTAATGTTACTGCATTATCATGTGCAAATAAAACTCTGGGATCTCCAGGTTCCACCATACCTAAAAAAGACCAAACATGTGCAATTGGTTTGAATGTTTCGGAGAGCCTGGTAGTGCCTCTGAAAAGACATAGTGAGTTAATATTATGGCTTAGTTAGCAGCGCACCAATATCAAAACAAACTCCAAAGCTGCAGGGCAGGGCCTGGTTAGTACTGTGATGGGAGACCTCTGAGAATACCAGGTGCCACAGTTGTAAAGGCTGCAGTTGTAAAGTGTGTGTGTGTGATTGGTTGGTGGAGGTGGGAGGGGCCGGTGGCACAGACAGATTGCCTCCCTTCTGTCAGTGTGCCCTAGGGCAGCTGTGGCTACAGTAGTAGTTTATAACCACTGTGTTTGGAGTGAATGAATAATGCTGTGAAGAGACTTTGAGTGTCCAGAAAATTGCTGTATAAAACCAATGCATTATTATTTTTCACAGCTTGGTGGATATTATTGTACAAGCAACTTGGCAGGTATCAAATAACCCAAATGTCAGTTGTGCTTCAGTGTTTTAACCATAGAATTAACCCTGCATTATTTAAGGTGGAGGTAATTTCCTGAAAAGCAGCGCGTTAAGGAATTATTCATCAGCTTGTTACATGAGACTGAGCAGTGGCCTCGATAACAATGAACTCTTTTTTTATGCTAAACTATCACTGTCCTCCAAACCTCAAGTCCGAGAAGGAAAACCAGCAGGGTGGGAATTTTACTGAAGACCAGAAACATAATGTCTGATGTAATTATAGATGGAAATAACCACATTTATATAGATCATTGTTTTGCCTTATATACTACCATTCATGGACATTGGTCTCATTGGTCATTTTTGTGTGTCTTAACTGTTGATTCTCTGATCTGTGTTGGTGATTTCAATGGTTTTGTTAAGTCCTCTGAGATGACTTCTGTTGTGATTTAGGGCTATACAGGTATAAATGGTATCGTATTGTATTGTATTATTATTACTTATTATACACTATTAATCTATGTGAATCTAAGTGACGTCAATGTTCTTGTATAATCTACTTACTCACACATAAACGGTGTGTTTGGATAGTTACGAGTTTAAAATGTAATGTAGAAATTTATAAATTTACATTGTTATTGATTTTGCTGCTGCAAAATGTTTCCATTTGTGTGTGTGTGTGTATACAGCTACTGTAACTTTGTTATAACATTTCTGTATTTTTGTTGTGGCTTATGTTTTGTTTGTATATTCATTTTTGTCAATTTTCATGTCTACGTGACTTGGATGAAACAGACCCCAATGAGAATGGCCACTGTTTATTTCAGGAGCAAATAGGATCAAAACACAAACAAACACAACATGGACAGTGATAACCAGATCAATAATGAAATTGTTCATTTCCAGAAAGGTTATGATACATGATCTTGTCATAGAGAGATAGCTTATTTAAATAAGAGATAGTATATGTATATAAGAGATGTCTAAGGATTAAATGTAATTGATCTCTTTGATGTGGACAACGCCCACTCATTATGAGCCTTTCTTCCCTTTCCCTCAGTTCCCGCCCATGTTGTCCTTCTCAGCCAATCAGATGCCACCAAACACTCGTAACTCCTGGCAACCGAGCAGAGCAGACCAATCGGAGCGCGGTAGCTACATCTGGTCGCCATTTTGTTTTGTCACCTCCGAGAAAAAAAAAACAAAAAAAAACACTAAATCCAGGCATTTCAACCGGAGGCGTGTTCTGCTGCACAATAATAAAACAATGCAGAATAGCGATTATTTCGCATTAGATTAGATTAGATTAGATAGAAAGGTTAATGACATGTGAGGTTTTACATACATGCTACTAACATTTACAGATATATACATACAACTATATATTCATGCACTAGAATATACAGTATTTTATACTTGCTTCTTTATTATGCTGAAGTTAGAGATGACATTTTGTTTTAGTTTATTCTTCACTAAACTTGTGCTGCATGCCCCTCATAATTATTGTTCTAATATTGTAACTGGTGATGCTGACATTTCCCTGCTGTTGAACAAACAAAGGATCTCTTAATGATCTTACAAGTTAGATATAATAAGTAATAACTTTATTGATCTCACAATGGAGAAATACAAGGAAAATTATGAGTGTGTAACTGTTTGGTTTGCAATAACGAATTACACGTTTTTGGCTGAATTATTTTGAGCTTTTATCCTATCAATAGAAACATGATTGTGAAAATGTATCAAAAAGTTGTGTAACGTGTTTTGCTATTACCCGTAAATATGAAAGAATTTGTTCAAGAAGAGGTGAAACTTGTATGGTGAAATTTGCATGGATGTAAAAAAAATACTTAGGGCCTATAGTGAGTCTTTTACGGCTCTTATTTGTTTTTGCAAAAACACTTTGAATATTTAATGGCATGGTAGGGTTGTATTCAAATCCAGCTATCATTTACAAACAAGCAAGAAATCGCCCTGTGAGTCACTATTGTTTTGGGCTTAGAGCTGATTGGTTGAATGAGGGTGGTCCTCTCGGTTTAAAATTTCTGTCTGAAACATTTTTCATACAAAGATGTGACAGATGACAAAACGAAATACATGTGGAAGCTAGAGATAGAGGCGATAGAGTGATAGATTATTTTTGGCTTGAAAGTTTGGTACCCCAGCTTTAATCTATACTAAAACACTAAACATTTTCCATTAGGTGAGTCCATGCTTTCTTCTGCAGATTTAGGAATACTAAAACTTGTGATATCAAAATTGGTATTGCCTCAAATCAATCAAATCAAACAATACACAAACACCTGGGAACACCAGGTGACACAGTGGGGCGGCTGTGGCTATAAAGTGCCAAATTGTCGCTGTGTCCTAACAAGTGCTTCACTTCAGCCTAAACACTTTCAGTCAATGCCTTTTGTTTTTGGAATATGACATAATCTGTATAATTCAGTAGTAGTTTGTCACCGCTGTGTTTGGAGTGAATTAATAATAACATGTGAAGAGTCTGAAAAGCGCTGTATAATATCATTGCATTTTTATTACTTCTCTTACAATGTGGGACAAGAAGAAGCTGGACAAGGTCATCAGGAAGTCCAGCTCAGTCCTGGGCTGTTCCCTGGACACAGTGCAGCAGGTGGGGGACAGGAGGGTCCTGAGCAAACTAACATCTATGCTGGACCATGACTGTCACCCCCTGCAGGACACTCTCTCTGCTCTGGAGAGCAGCTTCAGTGACAGACTAATTCACCCTCGATGTGTGAAGGAGAAGTTTCGCAGGTCTTTTCTTCCTGCTGTTGTCAGACTGTACAACGAGAATTTGTAACAGGAACTGCTGAGTCTGCACAAGTGTCACTGATAATTCACTAGTAACTTTGTCACTAGTCACTTTACCTGTTATCAGTACTACTGTATTATTACATATCTGATAATTCTCCCATTCAAGTCACTTTACCTGTTGATATTATTTCTGATGTTTATTCTGCTCATATTCTCTGCTGCTAATGTATAATATAGACATCTGTAAATACTCCGAACCAAGTGCAATTATAGCCCAGAGTTTATCTTATTTTATTTTATCTTAAATTTATTGTCTATTATCTTAAATAATAGACTTTGATGTGTGCAATCTGAGTGCTCTTATTTCCTTTCTCTGCTGTAATGTGCGCAACGATGACACTGAAATTTCTCCACTGTGAGACTAATAAAGGTTTATCTTATCTTATCTTCAAATCCAGGTTTAGTAGTGCATACAACTGAGGGATTTTATCTTCACTCTGTTTTATGTACTGTGATTATTAAGGATTGTAAGGCCTTCTTTTGTTTCTATCTTGTTTTGTTCAGCATTTTGAGTTTCCTTGTGTATGAACTGTGCTATACAAACACACTTTCCTTGCCTTATTACTAATTAAAAATCATTTCAGGGGCCACTGAAATGTTCTCACGGTCCACATTTGGTCCGCGGGCCTTATGTTTGAAACGTGTTGTCTATAGTCTCCCAATGTAAGTGATATTTCTCATTGCATTATTGATTTCCCCTCGCAGACCACACCCACCCGGGCCAAACGCCTGGATCTCGGCTCGCCTGCTCCAGCGGTGGATGGGCCGTGTCTGTGGCCGCTGGCTCAGACCTGTTGCTTCGCAGTTCCGCGTTGTGCAATGGATGGGTGAGTTCAAAACAAACCCTTTACGCTTTTCCTCCTTTTCCACTCGACCTCCACCACTTTCCGCCTGTGTGGACCCCCGAGGCGTGAGGATTGTCCCCGGGTGATGGTTCGCTCAGCCCGGGTCTCTCTCGCCTCTGTTGTCGCTCCAGAAGTGTTTATTTCAGGAAGCGTGTGAGGTTAGCATTAGCATTAGCATGGAAACGGGCCATTTCCAAGTCAACGCCGAGCTCCATCCCCACGACCTGGTATGTATTATGCATGTGGAAGCCTGCACGCCTCCCCAGCTGTTAAAATAAAGAAAAAACGCATTCATCGCTTATAAACAGATTTTTCTTTTAATCCCAGAGACATATTTACGAGCGCTGAAGTTGCCCATCACCGCCCACCGCACTGCGATAGGAACGACAACACAGCACTTGTTGATGTCGAAAAGAACATAAACTCAGATCCACAAGCTAAAACATATCAGCCGAATTCTAAAGCTATCTCGCATGATAACGTTTGCATTAGACTCCCGCTTTACAAGCGGTCTTACTGTTGTTGGCAGTCGTATATCTTCATAAAACAGCTGTTTTTACAAGGCGATCAGTAATCTGCAAGCGGAAGTCACCAGTTCTGCTTGTGTTGAGGTTATAAATGTTTTATTTGCGACTGTCTTGTGTAACTTGAGATATCCTGGTGCGACAGACTCGTTCTCTGCTCTTTTTGATTCTGAAATAATTGTGTGATAATTGCCATGTGACTGTATTTGATTGAGAATAACGCCCTATTCGCACGGGATGAGTATTACCTGTGGACCTCTGGTCATTTTCAATTTACTGCCCCACTCTGTGATACAGGCTGGAGATTCAATAAGATACATTTGCATGGAAATTACTTGTGAATTCAGTGGATCAAAACTTGTTTATATTTTCTTTTTTCTTTATTTTGTTTTCTGAGTGTGCAGTATTAAAAACCATCCAAATTCAAGCCAGGTTTTAGATTTGTGTTGGACTTTTACTTTTGGACTCTATCAAGCTTGATGTTGTTTGTCATGTTATAAATGTTACCTTCTTACGACTGTTGAATGTAACTGGAGTCCTGGTGTGACAGGCTCGTTCTCTGCTCTCTTTGATTCTGAAATACTTCCAGTTCATTTAAATGAATGTTTGATAATTGCCATGTGTCAGTATTGATTGATAATAACAGCTGTGGTCTTTAGTTCACAGTCTGGAGATTCATTAATGTGTATGGCAAGTTCCTTATTTGTTCTAGTGAAATATGCTGTCCTATAAACTAACCAAACACAAGCGATGCTTCAACGAAAGGTTTTAGATTTGGACTTTATTGGGCTGTATTTTCAAGCTATGCATGATTCACACGCTTACAACTTTATGTGATAATATATTAGATATAATGACTGGAGGTTTTAGATTTGTATTAAACTTTTACTACTGGACAAGTTATATGTTGTTATGAACGTGGCTTGCTTAACTATAGGTGAATACTTTAGAAATACATAAATATGCAAATTATTCCAAAATGTATAATTCCCATGCCCTAAACTGTTGTTTAGGGCATGTTTTAAGAAAACTAAAGGAGTAATAAGTCAGAAATAACTACTTGATAGTATCAGTACTTAATCTAAGCTTTCTCTCACTATTCAACATTGGACATATTTTCCCATGTCGCCTAAAACGAAGTACCTAGAGCTAGAGATATTTGCCATTTTAGTCCTGAGAAAGTTGCTCTCTGGGTGAAGAAGGCTGGAGACCCCTATTCTAGTGAAATTCAAAACCAACCAAATACTAGCTACACTGTAAAAAAGTCCTTGTAGAAAAACGGTAAATAGCTGGCAAATATGGTTCCAGGAATTTACCGTTTTCTCAACATGGCATTACCGTTGCTAATTTTAACGGTTAAAGACTGTTTCACTGAATCACGTTATGCCTTTGTGATTTCAGGATTTAACTGTTTGTTGCTGTTAATTCACATACAACAAAAACAGCATTATAATGTTAATGTAGTATTATTACACCATATGACTGTTTCTAATTAGTTTCATTGAACAAAAAACTACACAGTTTAATTTGTTTTACTTTAAAGAACACAAACTTTCAATTATTTTTTAACATCTTTAGTTTATACAAGAAAGTTGTTGAAATCTTTACTTCTACAACATGCTTAATGCGAAAGTATCATTTCAACTATAGCAGGAGTTTACATGTGTAAGAGGTACCTTGTACACTCATGGTTGCTTGCTAGCAAAAATTTCCCAGCATTCCAAAAATATAACAAGTTTATGTTAAATTACGGTAATAATACCATAAAATCACAATGTGATTATTAATCACATTGTGATTTTATGGTATTATAACGTTTTTTTGTAATCACATAATTGTGGTAATGAAACGCCACTGGATGTTTTTTAACCTATTTATACTTAAATTTGCATGTTTGTTTTTCAAAATAATATTTGTTCAATGTTGAAATTTCATTGTAATTTTTCAGAAATTTGTTACAGTGTAGGCATTGTTGGAAGGTTTTAGATTTGTGTTTGACATTTACTATTGGATTGTATCATCAGGCTGTATGTTGTGAGTCATTGTGTAACTATAGGTGTGTATAGTGTGTGTTTTGGGTCCACTACGTGTGGAATTAGAATTGTTCAAAGTACACCTTGAATTATAAGCCTCAGATTATTGCGAAGGCTGCGCTCTGGATTAAGAAGCTGGAATCTGTGTTATTTCTGTTTGATACAATGCTCTATGTTTTTTATTTTTTATCACGTTTGAACTTGTTTGAGAAGTGGGATGTCCCAGTTTACCAGTGGGATGTACCATTCTGAGCAGCGTTACTTGTGGAACATACCATTTATACTTCTATGAATCCAGAGATGTTTTGTGCTTTGATCGTCGGTCTCACTCACAGCATAAGTTTGTTCTTTGGGTTGAGTGAAGCTTGAGTTTGAATATGTTCTTCTCGTGTGTCTCCTGTTGGATTGTTGTCATCTGAATTGAGCTTTTTATGTGTGAACTCTCACTTTATACTTTTTGGTTGAAGTGTATGGGCCACAGACATGGGTAGATTCAAAATGGCTGAGGCCCGCAGGAAAATATGAAAAAAAAAAAACCATTTGCGCATGTATAAGCTGCACCAGCCCTAATTCATTTATCCTGTAAAGACGTTTTCCAGAGGATAAAAGATGTCATTAGAATTCAATGGATATTTCTGTTTCCGGCTACACCCCCCACTGGCAAGAAGGGAGATGGTAAGACTGTCAGCGCACATGCTCATGGACCTTTTTGAGCCGGGAGCCGCCCCACACTGGATGTATCACAATAGTACAGTTTGGTGCGGATCAGACAGGTCACACCATCACGTCACCTCTGGCGAAGGCGGAGTCTAACCATGTGGTAGGTAAACAGTACTAGTACTAAAGAACCTTTATAAGCCTCGAACATTAAGACATAATTAACTTTTTACAATTACATGTATTTACAATTTAGACGTTCACTAGACATTCATACAAGCTTATATTGTCTCGGCCTCAGTCCTGGGTTACAACCTGTCTGTCAATAGGAGCCAATCCCTCTCTCACTATGGCCGTTCCCGAGGTTTCTCACTTACTGGGTTTCTGATGCAGGAGGCTCTAAGGACTTTTATGAACATTTCTGGACAGTGACCCCTATGGATCAATGGCTATTTCAACTGATTCTCTGTTGTTGGTGAATCCAAAATCTCTGAGGGCGATACACAAATATATTTAATTGATTTGAGCTCTAAAGTCATTCCACAAGTTCTATAGCGCTATGAAGTGAATGGATCAAAGTTAAGGACCAAAATGAACACACACACTGCATAATGTGTTGTTCCTCTCGGTTGTGTGTTATGAAAATGCCACATATTTTGCCTAGACGCCTCCTGTGTGCTGAGTCTTGTCTCTGTCGTGTCCCGCGGCTGCATTTGCCTCCTTTGCTTCTCTGCACCCTTCAGTCTGCAGTTCACTGTGAGAGAGACTGTGTGTTAGGGCTGCACGATATTTTGAAAATATATTGTTCTTGCGATATTGGTACGTGCAATATCCATATTGAAAAGGTGCACGATAATTTTTTCCTTTTTCAAAGTCAACAAAACAGACAGACAAATCAACAAAAAAGTATATAAATATATGCATTTGAATGTCATTTGTCTCTTGCGTTTCAATGCAGATTGCAATTTTAGGTGATTGAATATCACAATATCGTTATCGAAATACTAAACACTCGAATTTCCAATATTGTGAAGCCCTACTGTGTGTGAGACTGTGTGTGAGAGACTGTGTGTGAGACCTGGGGTTTTCCTCTGTTTGGTGGGACAGAATTTCTTGAGAATATTTAGTTTTACTCCTGTCACTGCTCAGTCTGTGATAAAAACATAAAGGAGTAACTCAATATTACTTCCTGTGTTTGTCCTGTACTTTCTTCTGTCTTTCACAATATTCCATCCAAATTACACTTTGTACACGAGTAATCTTTATTTATATGGCGCCTTTTACAGAGCAGAGTCACAAAGCGCTTTACAATTGCTTTTTGTTGTTGTATCTCACTCCATACAGAGATTGTAGCAAAGTTGCCATACAGTCAGCGCATGCCAGACCTATTGTACATGTTTTTAGTGGTAGGGGAAACCGGAGCATCTGGAGGAAACCTACGCAGACATTGGGAGAACATGCAAACTCCACGCAGAAAGGCCCTGTTCCGACCCAGGAACCCAGGACCTTCTTGCTGAGAAGGGAAAGTGCTATCCACTCAGCCACCGTGCCGCACATGAGACACTCATGTTTGACAGTTTAAACATTAAAATACGGACTCTAGAATCTACTTCTTGTATTTGTAATCCTATATTTGTACTCCTGGTCTCTGCATTCTGTTGTTCTGTGTCATGTCTGTTGCCCATGACGGACATCCAGGAAATTCATTAAAAACTAATCTCCAATAGGGGAACTCAGGATGTCTTTTAGTCAAATCTGTGGTCTACCGGACTGTCCTGCTTCATAAAACAAACATGAGAGAACAGAGCCTTTCTGAGTGGAGTTTGCATGTTGTCCCCCTGTCTGCGCAGGTTTCTCCGGGTGCTCTGGTTGCCCCTACCACTAAAACAATAGTTCAGGGTGAATGGTGTGTGTTTGTGAGAGCGACTGAGCGACAACCCTGGCCACAGTCCAGAGATGTGTGTCCATTAACATGCACATAAATAAAATAAAAATACAATGTGGGTGCTGCAA